TATCATCTATACGGTTTATTTATATATCACACTTCATCTGATATGACAATCATCTATATGGCAATATAAATAACATAGAAACACGATATATACTCTAGAATAAATAAAATATGTCATTAAGTAACAGGTGGAGGCGGCCACAACCGCTCCCTCTTTGTTGTGGTAAACACTGCCATCTAGTGACGGCCTTTTGAAGCTGTCTATTATTATAATTATTATATGTAGTACATTATTATTATATATGTATTATTATTATACGTACATATACGTATTATTATTATTATTATTATTGTATTATACTATTATTATTATTATTATTATACGTATTGTTATTATTCATATTATTATTATACATACAGTGGACCCCCGACAATTGATATTAATCCATTCCTGAGAGCTCATCGAATGTCGAAAATATTGAAAGTCGAATTAATTTTCCCCATAAGAAATAATGGAAATCAAATTAATCCGTGCAAGACACCCAAAAGTATGAAAAAAAAAATTTTACCACATGAAATATTAAGTTTAATGCAATAGAATAATTACAATAACAACAATAACAATAGAATAATTGACACTTACCTTTAATGAAGATATGGTGATGATTGATGGGATGGGAGGAGGGGAGAGTGTGGATGGTGTTAGTGTTTAGAAGGGGAATCCCCTTCCATTAGGACTTGAACTGGCAGCCTCATCATGCCTTACCACACTGTGTATGCCACTACGATTCTTAAATCTTTCAAACCAACCTTAGCTGGCCTTAAATTCACTCACATCACCACTAGTTGCAGGCAATTTCTTTACCAAATCATCATGCACTCCGACACACGCACTCCACTTTCATACTTTGCAATTATCTCTTTCTTCATTTCAATAGTCGTTAGCACTTTTTTTCTTGAAGGGTTGGCACTAGAAGCTTTCTTGGGGCCCATGGTTACTTATTTTGCAGAAACAAGCACCAAAAACAGTGATAATGTGGAATGTACCGAATGTATCCTTAGATGCGCGCACACTTGCTGGCTTGTAAACACTGGCACACATGGGGCAGTTCAGGCCACACGTGGACACGTCTCGTACGAATCGTATCAAATGTCGGGTTTTCCATCGAATGTCGAGGCAAAATTTTTGCGTTAAAATGCATCGAATGTCGGATTTATCGAATGTCGATGCCATCGAATGTCGGGGGTCCACTGTATTATTATTATTATTATTATTATTATTATTATTATTATTATCATTATCATTATTATTATTATTATATAAATTATTTGTAATTTTTATTCACACAAAAAATATAAGATTTACTGTTATTTCTTATTCCAATAATTGTATAAATATGTCAACCCATTCACGACTGCATATTGGAATGGACAGTGACGTCATTTGTTTACTCTGAAACAGCCAAGCAATGGACCATTTCTCCTAGGTTGAGCTCAATTTCAAGGCACTTTTTGTCATGAAAGTAATCAAAATCATATCTATTTCTGTAATATATCTTCCATTCTATCAAATGAGACCAAAAAAACGAGAATACAACCATAAAAACCATTCGAAATTACCACTAAGGGGTGGCTAACTGCTGAGAAGTGAGCTCCATTATTTATGCTTAGATTTCTTTCATTTTTGGTGTAGGTTAAGAAGCATCTTTCCATCATACATTGCCCAAGTTTCAAATAAGATAGTCCAACAAATAAATGAGATACAATTCCCAAGATCAAGAGCAAGAGCCCCTCACCAGTGTCAAGGAACCTGCCTTGAGGTCTGCTCACTAGTGGAAATTTTGCTCGCGTATGGAAGCAAAAAATCGACCCATCGACTGCTCGTATTTGGAAAAACTCGCACGTGGACATGCTCGCAAGTAGAGGTTCCACTGTATCTCCGAGGTCGCTAACTTCGCGATAGCATAATTCCGTCAGTTTTCCATCACATTTTCCTTTTTTTTGGTGTCATTACAATCGGGAAAAGATTCTCTTATCATTTCATAATTTTTTTTTTTTTAATTTTGCGACACCAGGAGACACCAGGATTGGGGGTTGTGACAGTCAAGGGGGTTAATAAATAGAGGTACAGTGGAAACCCGAATATCGGCCATAATCCATTCCAGAGGGTCAGCCTAAATTCAAAAAGGCCTAAATTTGAAGCAATATTTCCCACATCTTCCATTGTTTGTAATCTCTTATTCGTTAATATGTTCACCCATTTCGGCACTGGCCGAAATATGGAGCAAATTTTCAGCCCAAAAACCGGCCTAAATACAATTCGATTGATAAACTCAGCTGCTGATATTCGGGGTTCCACTGTAATAATAATACATACAGTACTAAACAGACATATTTATGTACAGTAGACCGTCATTTAAACAAGTTTATTTGGCACGATTTGGTTATAGCATGATTGAAAAATTGCGACACAATTTTATACAACACGGTTCCATTTGTAGGCGCAGAAAAAATTTCCCCAGCTCAAGCTGCCGCCTTGTTGTGGGTCAGCACATAAGAATGAGGTAAATATGAGGTTGTGTGATGACTGACTGACTGACTTTTTGATTGACTTACTGACTTGGCTGACTTACTGACCTGACTGACTTGACTGATTGACTAACTTACTGACTTGAACTACAGTTACATATTCACTTTTATTTTTGTAAGATCTGTTGGTATAAAAAGAGTTGTTTGGCTTTATGGGGGGTTCCCAGGAGTGTAACCCTATTTTTCCCACAAGTTCTTCAGTTCCTCTAACAGGGTTTTACCTAACATGGTGTTTTCACGAACGTAACTACTGTGTTAAATGACGGTCTACTGTATTAAATTAAGTAATATTATGTCTACTGAACATTACATTTATTTTGAGACACTGGTATTGAACCTACCTTCACCTCTCTCTGTCTAATAGCAGTTAGCATGACACTTGGTGTCGTTTTTCGCTCGACAGTTTCTCAGTATTAGGTGACAGGCTGGAAGAGGCCAGATGCAATGTGTCATCTAAATGGGCATCAGTTAGTCAGTTTCTTAATTTACTTTTCATGTATTTCATTTCTGAGAAGAGTTGCTTGCACATATAAGCACTTCCAAACACTTGTCATTTTTTTCACGTGATCTACCAAGTTGGTATACATACCAGTTTCAAGACGATATTTTTTGTAGAACTCTAGTGGAGATATGCCCGTTGCATTAAATTTTGATCTTAATACATCACCGCACTGCATCTCACTAAGTTCTATTTGAACATTTTCTGGTGTTGTGTTGATGTCCACGTCAAACGGAGTGGCAAACAGCCTGAAATCACGGGTGTGAGCAAATATCAGTAAAACAGGAAGAAAATTCAGATTTCAAGTCACATATCACAGTTTAGTTTAATATGTTTATTATGCACCCCATACCCATCCCGTGGGCGGTAGTCAAAAGATTACAGAGGTACATAATTGGTCCAGGGACTGGACTCTAAAGTTTTGATAGCTGAGCAAGTTACAAAGGTAATGAACTAGATCTGGTCATAATCATGACCAAGTTACAAAGGTAATGAGCTCCAGGTTGAGCTGGTCACACTCATGAATAATTGCAAAGGTAATGAATCATAAACACATTAATCATGAGAATTTTCAAAGGTAATGAGCTCCAGGTAGAGCTGGTCACATTCATGACAAGTTTCAAAGGTAATGAATGATAAACACGTTATGACATGATTACAATCATAGACAAATTACAGAGTAATGAGCAGTTAACAAACATAGTAGGGAATTCATCCATTGCCCCAACAACAGATGTTGCTAGGTGCCTGTCTCTCCTCGGCAGACAGCCATTGCAAACAGCAGCAAGTTGCCTCGGGATCTGCTGCTTGCATGAGCACCATCGACCCTCCCCAAGAGGTCCAAGAAGCCAGTGACTCCGTTAGCAGCCCGATGGAGAGCTGTCCTAGGGACATGTCAGCGTCCTGGTGGACGCCAAGTTGATTGAAGATCCCAGGCCCTCGTGTGCACGGATGTTGAAGCTTGAGGAACTGAGTACACACTGCCTGTGGCACACCTGGCAGCTGCCTCACGGTCGAACTCCACGATGCTGTCCCTGTAGTGGAAGTTCCTGTGAGCCCGGCACTCCCTGCAGTGCCATCGCTGACATTGTGGGTTAGGGGAGAAGTACCCTCTACAGATGGGGTGGCGCTGGGAGTTGAGAGGGTGAGGCGGGGGAGACGCGCAGGGGTGAGGCGTTATGAGAGGGTCACTGTTTACTACACACGCCCTCCCCCTCCCCCCCAGCAGAGAGGGGGGGAGGCGCTGACTGATCCTGACTCAACAACACCAAACCCTCTAAAACTGCACAACACTTTAACTATTTACGCTGAAACGATGCACTGGGATGTCCGTTCGCTGTTCTGATATCTTCTCAAAGCATTCACATTGAGTTCTGTTAAGTAGGGACCTGGTCATCCTCTTTGACCAGGAGCTATCCTTGAAAATCTCACAGCTAGCCCGCTACACAACCTGCCGCGTCGGCCATGCCAACAGCTGTGACATATCACAGTCACAAATGTTACCTGGAGGTTATACCTGGAGGTTATTCCGGGGATCAACGCCCCCGTGGCCCGGTCCACGACCAGGCATCTGTCAGTTTTTAATTTTTAAACACATACGTAGACTTTTATATGGGCTTGTAGCACCATTGATACAAAAAACTAGTAAAAGTGTCGCTTCCTGCCACATCTGATTGTAGTTTTGCCAAGCTTCACTGTCTGTGCTTGGTCTAGAATTTAAGATGACAGAAGTCCTCAAAAAAAAAAAAAAAAAAAAACCTGTGGCCAGGTTAATGTAATATTTCTCTTAGGAACTGTGGGCTGGAGTATTTCAGGTTATGGGCTGGATCCAGCCCACAGGCTGCAGGTTGCCAACCCCTGCATTATAGCAACTTTCCTTCTGTTCACTGACCCCCTTTCACTGTTGACACCCCCAAGCTGAAAACCCCTTCTCCATTTAAAAAAAAAAAAATGTCATCTTCTAAAATGGAAGATAGTGGGTGTAAATGTAGTGGCTGCTAGGGTTTAACTTGAATGGTTTGCCTGATAACTTTACCTAACACATTACTTAAATTTTGTATATGTAAACTTTACAAGATGATAGCAATTACAGGCATTGGTGAGTACAGTACAGTATAATGCCATTATTGGTTTTATTTGCCATGCTTTGTCCTTTAAATTTTTGGATCGCCTCTCATTCTCTCTGATGGAGCTTGACTATAATGCTAAAGTATGTTTTAAATGGAGTGTTTACACAAAAATAAATACATATATGTATGTTTAGACACCTTTTAAATTATTATTGTGGTCTTGTGTATTGAGCAGTGAAGAGCAGCAATAGTACAGCAGCCATGTTTTCCCAGGAAAACGAGGAGGTGGTACCACTGGAAGGAAAGGAGGAGCTGCTGGAGGTAACATCTGAGGCAGCACCTGTGGATGACCTCTCTAAGTTGCTGGAGACTACACCACAGCTGAAGCATTTTTTCATACCTAGTCAGAACTCTCTCTCACACATGATCTTAACCTGCAGATCTTGTAATCAGGTGCTCACTTCTTTGCAAAGCCTCACTTCTCATTGTTGCAACTATAACTGTAGAAAATGTGGAATTGAGGAAAAGAGTTTGGTTGTTATTATGCAACATGTTTTAGTGTGCTCCTCTCATCAGTCAAAATCAACTGCTCTGTCTTGCAACTTTTGTTCTCGTATATTTAAAGAGAAGCTACAACTGCAACAGCATAAGGAGGAACACGTCAGTGACTGCTTAAAGAAGTATGCCAAGCTCTTGATAGAGAAAGGCTTGGCTGAAACTCCATGCCCAGAACCCCAGCCTCCTCTGAAGAGGGGTCGACCTAGGAAAATGAGTGATTGTACCAAATGTAGCCTAGTATATGGTTCGTCAGTTGATCTAGATCGACATATAAGATTAAGTCACCCTGAAACTTTACCACATGCTTGCAGACTTTGTGACAACCGCTTTCTTCACCAGCACCAACTGGAACTTCACATTGTGGAGCATTTTATGGGATCATATGCATGTGATTTTTGTGGAGTTCATTTTGGGTATAAATATCCCTTTCTGAGGCACCTTGAAGCTCAACATGCTGGTGACTTCTTATTAAAATGCGAGTTCTGTGAATTTGCTACTGGTTCTTTTAACAATTACCGGTGTCATAGGAGAGAACCACATGAAAGGAAGAGAGAAATAGCTTCAGCATGCCATCAGTGTGGTGAACTGGTTCCTCAGGATGAGATGGAAGAACACTTAGATGAACATTTATTGAATGAGAAACCTGTGCCTGCCAAAACAGAGATCTCTCATCAGCACTTTCCCAAAATGAAGAAGGGACGGGGTCGGCCAGCGAGGCGAAAATCACACAAGTGCTTAGATTGCAATATTACTTTTCCCAGTCCGGCAAGTCTTTCTCGTCACAATCATGATAAACACCCACAAAAGTATACCAGACAATGTGAGATATGTGGTCACAGATTTAAAGGTCAACGTGCACTTGAATTACACAGGGAGGGCCATGAGAGTGGCAGTTGTTGGTGTCCTGTTTGCAAGCTCAAATTTAGGCACAGACAGCATGTTGAACATCACTTTGCAAGAGCACATTCTGATGTAACTAGTATTGACTGTGAATATTGCAGTATTAAAGTAACATCTTACAGTAAATATAAGTATCACTGCCGCAATTCCCATGCAGATTTATTAGAAGATCGTGCTGAACTAAAATGTAATCAGTGTGGTAAAGTTTTTTCAAGTCGTATCTTGTTGAATAAGCACATGTCTAAGCAACATGGCCTAAACAGACAGAATGCACCAAAGAATGAATGTCCAGTTTGTAAGAAATATTTTGTCCATATAGATGTGCATATGAACCTTCACACTCGAGCTGTACAGTTTTCATGTGAGGAATGTGGAGAGGTATTTTTTTTGAGGTCTAGTCTAATAGCTCACCACAAGCTTCGTCATGACCAGAATGCGAGGGCTCACACATGTGATATTTGCAATAAAGGTTTTATTAGTAGTTCGTTGCTACGCACTCACCATGAACAAGTACACTTGCATAAAAGAAAATATTCTTGTGATTTTTGTGCACGTAGTTACAAGAACAAGTCTGCTCTTACATACCACCTAAAAGTACATTTTGGTGAACGGCCGTATAAGTGTCGAGTATGTGGCATAGGCTTCCACCGTCCTTCAACTTTAAAAACACACATGGAAGGTACACACCATCTCCCATATTCTTACCTTTATCGTAAACCACAGCGTCGTGCAGGTGCAGGTATAGGGATTTTAAAAGCTAAAAGTTCCAAAGAGAATACTGAGCAAACTACCAAAAAATCTTCAAGCTTCATAGGGAGTAAAGCTTCAAGATCTGTTGTGATGGGAAATGAGGTTGGGATAGATGATATTGTTGGGGATGTGGATGTGATTGAAGTTGTAGATGAAATAGGAAGAGTTAGTGGTGTGGCTGATGTAAATGTAGACGTGAATAACTCTGAAATCGTCACTGTTGAAAACTTGCGTGACTTACCAGACCTTTATGATGAAACTGGAGAGGAAAGTGTCTATATTATTCAGGCCATAGAAGACACCTAGCTACAGTCTTCAGGGGTACTCTAGGTATAGAGCTTTATCTGTTTCTTAATTATGTGACTTTTCTATTTGATAATTATAAAATGTATTGTCAACATGTGGATTCCTAGTTGTATTGAAGTATAAATTGTGGTACAGTATATTGGTTTTGTTTTGATATTGGAGAAATTCATTTTGTTCTGTTATTCATAATACTGTAAAGTATTTGTCACTTAAAGTTACTATAAAATGCAATATTTCGTGTGTGTACTTCATATACAGTTCAGTATTTTATCGCTAATTTTATATACAGTAATTACTATAACAGTTTTACCATATACAAAAATAAATATTGTGTACTATATGTGTATAAAATTGTATTTTAACTGGTGGCATGTCTGAAGATTAAAAGTAAAAAAAATCTGAGTACAGTGTGTGTGTGTGTGTGTGTGTGTGTGTGTGTGTGTATCATGTGGGAGTTCGATACGTGGATTAGGTAAGAAATACTCACGTAGGCTGTTATTACGTATAATTGCGATATGTGGAGAGAGCCCGCAGCCGTTACCTTGCCTCCTTGGTCACACCCGTAATACTGACTAGCCGGCTGCCCACAGTACCCAGTGAGAGGGTCGAGAGGGTCTTTGAATAATGTCAGCTCAGCGCAATATATGAATAGACCGTGACTCAGGCAGAGACGGTTGATCGTTGAGTCAACGGACACTTGATACTGGTAACTGGTTACTAGACTGGTAACTGTTACTACTACTGAGAGCTCGCACGCTAACGTATGTCCGTCCGACATACAACTTATACAAACTATAGATCAGTAATACGGGCTTGGCCTGATTCTATAGCAATGTCCAAAGTACACAATAATTAAACAATTACATATACATAATAGAACATGGAATGAAAAGCTTACATAACTGAAACAGTAATTGCAATACAAGGTATACTATAGTAACAACTTAAAACTCAACAAATGAACAACGAACTCAACGTTGAGATTACAAGTGATAAAAAAAATGTCGTCGATCGATCTGTATTCGTGTGATCTACGGATCTGAGGAAGGAATATATACAAAGAAAGATGTTTACAGAAAGGCAGATTCGGTGCACGCAAATTAGACTGTTAACTCTCAGAATGCGGAGAGAACATGAACATAAAAAAAAATTCTTGAATACTGTAAGTTGATACTGTAATTATTCAATCTATACAGGTTATTTACATTTAACTTTAACCCCAACTCTGCTAGAGTAATATTGGCATATGCATGAATGGTGTCATCTCTGGGAGGATCAAACTCTGTAGGCATTGGCTAACTCATGCTGTATTGAGGCAAATCTAAATTGGAAGTAACAAATGATACTTGAGATTTCTCAATACCTGTCGTGTACGTAGGTATACGGACATTTCAAGGTTGATCGTCTACCTGAGTAATCAGAGGAAGAGAGTAACGGATCAGGAGGAATTGTCAGAGTCTGTCCACATTAGTCCTGGGTGGACATCATATCATCACATACTAACTTCATATGATCCAAATGCGATTCTTTTATACTGACCATACTAATCTCTCTAACCTTATAACTTATTACAGTGATATTTACAACTACTCCGAATAAGGACCAACAAACTTTTGATCAGCTTTGGCATTGCAGACGTTTTGTTAAAGTTAATCAGCATAACTCTCGAACCTAACTTGATTTTGGATGCTTTGATCGAGTTTTGCGACTCTTGTAAATTCAGCTGTTGATTTATGAAGTGTTTCACGGATTCCATCTAAAACACTTTGAGCTAAGCAGGTACGAGTTGCTACGAAGTCACGGGTTGTAATTTGGTTTCGGATTAGAATATACAACTCATAAGGCAAACGTTTTATCTACACCGTACAATGCAATAATGTGGAGTGGTCACCTATAGAATCAATGTAAGCAGAAAATTTATAGCACACTGCACATCAGGTATAACTTCATCCCAAGTTTCACTGTTGGGATGATAGTGGCTCTCAAGACATCAAGTACTTTCTTATTGGTTCGTTCCGATAACCATTGCTGGCAGGATGATGAGGAACAATGGTGGATTTAGAGATCTTGTACAAGGTACAAAATTTTCAAGAATTTCCATTACAGAATTCACCTCCATTTATCTGTTACTAAGGGACATAGGGGTGGAGCATCAGATAATGCGTTCTTTAAACGCTTAGCTACTGTCCTCGGCAGTCTATCTGCAATATGAACTAACTCGCAATATCGTTGAATGGTCTACCAATAACACACAGATGTTTGTTACCTTGGAGGGGAACATTGGAAATTAGTTAACAAATCTAGCGCAACTCTTTCCCAAGTTTCGGTAAAGTTAGTTGGATAACACTTGGGATTGGATTAGGACCATTAGCATTCCTTTATGTTGCATGCAGACACTAAATTTCCTAACAAACACCAAAATATCCAGTTTGACATTCGAGGCCAAAAGTATTCAATCTGCTGTTTTACTGAAGCGATCCATACCAGGTGTGCAACACCTGGTACATCTGGAACTAGCTGTAAGCTACATTCACTAGTGACTGTGGAATTACTAACTGGTATACTCTTCTGCTAGGAGTACCCAACTCGGCTGTCGATACAGTAATTCTTGGTTCATGAAAAGTCACTGATGGGTGCTGGTGCCTTCACAGTCGGAATAAGATCTTCCGGAGCAGGAACGATCACACCAACCACATGGGATCTGTTTCGTTGAGCATTCTTTACATCTTCAGCACTAAATGGAGGTCTGCAGTTACTATACTAACATGTTCGTGATAAGGCATCTGCGACTACATTTGACGTGCCAGGTAAATGCCCCCCCCGGGGGGGGCCCCCCACCCAAGGGGGGGGGCGGCGACACAGGGGGGCCCCCAAACAAAGCGGATTGAACTCTTGATAGTCAAGGCCATCTGGCTAACCTTCCAGTAGGTTGTTTTGTTCTGGATAAAAAGGGGGGTTATCAGTGGAGCATGGTCTTGTCAAGACATGAACAGAGTACTGATAAATAATGTCCTCGAAAGTTGCTTTATTAAGTCATACTATGGCTAAGCTTCTGCTCAGTTACTGTATAATTAACGTCAGCCTTCGTAAGACCGGCTAGTCAAATGCAACTGCGTGTAACTTGCCATCGGTCTCTGACTAGTACGGCACCTAGCCAATGAACTAGCATCAGTTGTTCAGATAGAAGGCTTAGAAAATCTGAAATTTCAAATTGGACAGATGTTAGCTTTTCTTAAGAGTTTGAATGCTTCTTTCTTACGGAAGGGTCCAATCAAAAGAGCATCTTTCTTTAAGCAACTCAGTTAGAGGAGCAGCTATGGAAGAAAAATTGGCAAAGAAAGATCTATTAAAAACCTGCTAACCCACAAAGACTTACGGCATCAGCAGTTTTTTTGGGAGTTGGAAAATTTAGTACTGAAGTTTACTTTTACTTTGGACAGTCGTAACCACCTCTAGGATGACTACGTGACCAAGAAACTTATTTCTGATCTGAAAAATTGACATTTTGACAGTTGATCCTTTAAATTTGGCTTCTTCAAGCTTACAAAGTACTACAACAGTCTTTTTCAAGGTGTATCCACGTCTTTAGACATGACGATTACGTCATCTAAGTACACCATAAGTGCATTACCTATGAGACCTCTAAAGATATTAGTCATGACCTTGAGAACGTGATAGGGAAGATCGTAATCCAAAAGCCATACGGAGGAAGTGATAATGACCTTGTAGGAGTGGAGAATGCAGTTAGCTCTTGACTGTCACTCAGAAGAGGACTTGCCAAAACCCTTGTAACAAATCTAGGGTTGAAAAGACTTTGTTATCTCCGATATAACGTAAAGATCACCCAGTACAGGAGTGGAAAGCGATCTGGAATGGTTTTCGCGTTAACTTCCTAAGTCAATTACTGTGCGCCAAGTACCATCCTTCTTAGTACTAGTATCAAGGTGCATTCCAAGGGGAATTGCTAGTGCAATAACTCCATCATCAAGCATTTGATTGATCAATCTTCTGCGACAGCAACTTGTGAATGAGGCAGTTTCTGTACGCAGGTATGATAGATAGGTCTAGTACCATGTTCAAGTGGAATACATGGGACAATAAGTTTCGTTATACCCATCTTCTCACCTGTAAAGCAATGGCTTTACGACGTTTGTTCAACAGAGTCAACAAACGCTTGACTTCATCTGGGAAGTCATGGGAGCTAAGTTTTTCTCCTCAACTGGTGAACAGATTGATCCAGTGAAGTTGGATGAGGTCTCCCCGGCAGAAATAGCACCGACCCACTGGGTCAGGTGACAACCTCATCCTCTACCTGAACAGGTAAGGAATAGTGGAACAAGTCAACAAGAATTGGTATTTGCTCTAAAGCGAACACTGTGACCTTTGGGAATGGGTTGAAATGGATCATACTATCTCTTACAACATGTAAGGATGGTTCAACAAATAGACCTTTTACTTTGCAGAATACTGTCAACTAGGACGTTATACCATCTGGACACAGGAACAACTACAGACACTTCTAGTGAGAGTCACTACCGCACAGAAACGTCTTCAGCAGACGGCAATGTGACATCAACAAGAGATGGCAAACGAGTTGCAAGAATTGTTTTCCTACAAGGCGTCCCTTGTGGAGAAACTACTGACCTCGAACTAGGCAGGCATTGCAGGGATAGGTTTTGCACCAAGGCAATCTGAGCGTCCTCTCGAGATCACTGAGGCATCGGACTATCCTGCAAATCTAAGGTATAGGGTGGAACACTGGGGGATGGGGAGTGACAGAATTACCAGTGCCTGACAGCTTGGGTACGCTACTGGAGAATGCATAGCTTGAAAGGGATTTAATCCGTCATCATACTCTGCAGCAGTATAACAGATTTCTGATCCAAGCTGGTAACCCAGAATGGAACGTTTAAGTCGTTCAATTTGTGCATGCCATCGATAAGGGTCGAGCACAATGCGTAAGTCTCGCTGGAAGCAAATCCCAGTAGAAGGTCACCAGGGAAAGTAATCTGGTCGAAAACAAGGAAGGAAGCAGTGAAGTCTCTACCTTGGATAGAAAAGGTTAGGGAAGTCCGACCTCGGACACGCAGGTGAGAACCAGATACTCCACTAAGGGAGGAAAAGGAGTCGGTTTTACCGAGAAGGACATGTCGTAACTTCTTATCCTTAAACAAACTAGCCCTAAAATATTGATTGCGCACCAGAGTCCATGAACAAATGAACGGGCGCATTATAAACAATGCTTGCACTATAGGGCCTATGGTTGCATTGGAAGTTATGTGCAAACAAAAGGTGGGGATTGTCATCAGAAAAGACTTGTTCTACTCCATCCCCAAAATCATTATGTCAGAGACATGTGATGCAACATCATCAGCGGGGTTGTCAATCTGAGACTGCTTAAGGCTTCAAAGGAATTGTGAACGGGGATGGTGTACTCATTTATCACCTACTGTCACCATGGGACGGTTTGAAGGGCGCTCGAATTCCCCCGAATTGGAAGAACGAGCCTGGTTTGGTTAGTTTGAGAATTGAAAGAATGAGCCTGGTTTTGGTTATTTTGAAACCCGAGATCTGGTTTCCTCTAGGGTTCTGCGGTTGGAACGGGCCCCGGAAAGACCTAGAGTACTGAAGGTTATAGAGAGCATTCACTCAGATGTGTCATGTCCATGTATTCTATGATAAGTACAGTAGGGAAAAT